AGCAGCCTACAGAATAGAAAAAGACTTCCCAACACATCTGATAGAGGATTAATATCCAAAAAATATAAAAGTCCCATAAAAAAACAAAGGTTTCTGCTATCTTAGCTTCTTTTCCTGTGGCGGTGACAAGATACTCTGAGAAAAGCAACTGAGGAAGGGCTTCTTTTGGCTTCCAGTTTCAGAAAGGCACGGTCCCCGATGGCAGAGAAGACAGCTGTAGGTAGGGAAGGTGTAGTGTCACGATTAGGAGGCCGACTGGTCACATTGCATCCACAGTCAGAAGACAGGAAACAGAAAATGAAACAGCCTACAATGACTCAAGACTTGTCCCCACTCACCCATCTGTAACAGTGAGTCCTCATTCCTAAAGGTTTTACAGTCTTCACAGACAGAGCCACCAGCTGAGGGCCTAATGTTCAAACAGTTGGGCTTATGGGGGATTTTACATTCAAACTCGAGCACTCACTTGTGACAATCCAGATCAAAAGGGAGAGCGTTATGCTAACCCAGGTACAGAAAAACACACAAAGACAAATGTTGCGTGATTGTGCTGACATATGGAATCTAAGATGTTCAATCTTACACAAATTATGAGGGTTTGCCAGAGAGTGGAGAGAGTTGTGAGGGGTGGGGATTGAGGAAACCTTAGTCAATAGGTATTAAGCTGCAGTTAAATAGAATGCCTAGTGTTGTATGGCATAGTAGTGTGACTGTGGGTATTAATTGTATATGCCTATCTCAGAAAGTCAGAAGAAATGAGTTTGAATATTTTCAATAGATATCGTGAAAAAATATTCTTTAGTGATATATGTTAGAGGAGGTAAATTTGTTTATTTTACAACACAAGTATGGGTTAAAGCATCACATGATACTACATTACTATGTACAATTTTATTTTATATATTATTTTAAATAAATTTAATATGGAAATAAAGATGGTATAACTAGAAGAAAAACAGCAGAAGAGAAGTGGAAGTGATCTGTAGACTACACACAGCATTCCTGCTGCACAAGTCTCAGGACATCTTGAGAGAAGCAATGGCTCCTTCCCTGGGTCCCAGATGGAATTCTAACTATGACCAGGTGTCAGGAATAGGGAGAGATGGCACCAGGCTGGCTTTCCTGTGTGAAATAGGCATAAAGAGCCATTGATGAATGTGACCAGGTGAATGCACATCCAAGGCATCTCTGAGAGCCTCATCAGTGAATCCTGCTGGAATGTGGCTGGGTTGCAGAGGGTTGGCACTGGACAGGATGCAGAAGACAGCTGCTGATCGGAACAGGGCCAGAGAGAGTACAGCAGTAAATGTGCCATAGACACCTGTATTCTTGGGTTCTGAGCAGGGGCCAGGGCAGTCATGGTTTAACAGGCTCTGACAAATTTGAGCAGTCCTGAGTCTGAAAGGCCCTGGCTCATGGCCAGATGGACAAGTGTTGTCTCCGGTTTGGTATTAGTTCCTGCATCCAAACTATGGTAGGACAAGAACAGTGCTCTATTTTCTACCATATTCCAGTAAGTCCTCCATGCATCTTTATTTTAGAGAAGATTGTTTCTAACTTTTCCATTAGAAAAATGAGTATTATGATGGATTGCCCTTTCCCATTGAAGTTAATTGGCCATGGGCAATAATAATAAGCACTATATCTAGTAGAAAGAAAAGCAGAGATATTCACAAATTGCCGTGGGCGGGCAGAGCCTATGGCTCATTTGAGGGAGGGAGCCTTCTGATTAGCTATGCTGCTTGAGGCAGTGTCGAGGACAGCACTATTCCCAGACTCAGTCTGCATATTGGCTTTTCCATTCATCACTCCACTCTCTTCTGGAAGCACATTTTAAGTGTATGTGATATTTCACATGCAACATGTGGACAGGACTGTAAATTTAAAGATAACCAGTTCCATCTTCCAGTCAATGTGGATAACGTATCACTTTCTTTCTCCAAAACCCAAACATAATTTTAATCATTAGCTTCTAGGGAAACAGCAAGTAAGGAGCAAACTGTCTCCCTAGGACCATGAACTTGACTTTACATGTAGTTTCATGAAGAAATTTAGCCATGTGGGGAGTGTTCGTGGAGCCCCTCAAGTTGAGACTGTACCAGGAGAGCATCAGCCCAAGAGAGACTCATAACTGTGGAAGTAAGTTCCATGTACTCGTGATAGTGACCACCAAAACTCTAGCCAAGACTTTCTGGATATCTTCCTCAGTTTATAACCATTTTTTTTCTTCTCATTTGAACTCTTGCAGAGAGCTGAGGAAATCCTCAGTTAATATGTATTGTATTGCCATGTCAAAGACACCAATGGCTCTGAAATTTGAGAACAGGCAAAGCCTTCCTCCTGGTAAGGCCCAGAGACAATGTAAAATCTTCCTTTTGTCCATGTACCAGTATTTATCAACTATTTAACCAGTGTGTGCAAAAACTAGCAACTGTAGTTGCTCCTGGGTGTTTACAGCATGAGACTGCTCATCTATGAACGTCTCCTACTGAGACAGGTTAGTCCTTCCTCTGTGCTCTACATAATCACGGTGCTGAGGTTCTAGGCTTCTCTGGTAGGTACCACTCCCTCAGAATTTTCATGGCTCACCTGATCCCAGGTTTTATGTCCACATGTCTGTCCTTTCCTCACTCCCTTGCCGTCCTAGTCAGGCTTCCAGGACCAAACTGTGCAGGATGTGGTAAACTCTCAAATCGTTTTGTCTTTAGAACAGTGCAAATAGTACCGAAGAGTGGGAAAGAATTGAGAAGGGAGACAAACTTATGGAAAGTTATTTTTGTTGTTACTGTGTATTCTACAGCAGCATTCTATCTCCAGAGAGCTGAGAGACATGTTGGTTGAACTGACCCATGGTCTTGCCTAGTAGCACAAGGTCAATGAACAGAAAACATCAGAGCACAGAGTTCCTTTCCTGAGCTGCTGCCTCTGCCGCTGGCCTAGCCCCCATCTCAGACTTTGTCTCTTGACTTAGACTGAAAACTCTATGTAGGCCCAGTAGAAGTCTTTTTAAAAGCTAATTAAAGTTTGATTTGACCAAGTTAGAAAGGCAAATAGAGGATTATTGACTTTTTAAAAAAAATTAAAATGAGTGTATTGAACATGCACCTTTTATCACACATACAATTTTAAAAAGCAAAAAAAAATTGAAAAGAAGCATTTTTATCATACTAAATATACTCAATAGGCATTTTCTGGGTAATTTTCAGATGTTAGAACTGTTTTTAGAAGAATCTCTATGTAGACAAAGCTTTGCTTTCCCATGATGTCTAACAATCGTGTTGCCCAGATAGAATTAAAATCCACGGAAGTTAGGCAATGAAATGGTGACAGACTCATAATTTTAGGGGCCAAATGGCACCACAGTGAATTCTCACATTTTTGGCTTCTAAAGACCCTGGAGGCTGCTTTTATTGCATATTTTATGGAACCATCTGTCTTTTTTTTTTTTTTTTTTTTTTTAACCAGATCTAGTATACATTCAAAACTTTAAATAAAAATTTTCTATGTGCCAAAGGACCAATGCTTTGCTTACTGTAGTGGCCAGGGGAAACTCACAGGGTTCACAGCAGGAAGAAGGGTCTGGAGCGGTGCTGAAGTCCAGGACAACTGTGATACAATTGTACTAGGTAGGCATCCATGTTAGATGTGTTTTCTTATTGCAGCCAAGAACAGCTAAAACTGTAGATCATCTTGATTGACATATTATTTTTAGAGATCTTCTTTTGGATTTGTGAAGATAATAGCATTTAAAGTTCTTTTATTTAAAACGAGACTCTATAAAGCGAAATGCTCCCTGCTAATCCATGTTTGCCGCCTGGAAATGATTGAAATGTAAAGTAGTGCTTTGGGGGAAGCACTACAGTAAGTACACGAAGGAACAAGTTTAAGTTCTAAAGGGGCCTGAAAATAATTGCCAATCCAGAAGCTTACAGTACAGGCGCAAGGATATTTTAACGTGAATTATACAGGGCTTAATCTAAGAAAAACACCCAATATAGTCCACTGTTATTGACCAGTCTGCCTCCTCTTCTTTAAATCTGATTTACAAAAATAATCAGTCATAACTCAGATATATTCAGAGGGAAATGCCTCTGAAATCACTTTCATACTGTTGTGGAAGATGCCATGACCTCCAGGAGAAGATAGGCCCCTTTGGCAAGTACGTAAGAGTAGAGGAACTTGGAGCTTTACAAACTCCCAGCAATAACTTTCCAGGTTTTGGAAACTTGCGTTTTTGAGAAGGTGGCTAATGTTGAGGGTTAAGTGTGAGTGTGTGTTTCTCAGGAGGTGCTCCGGAGAGACAGCAGTGTTGACATTTCTGCTGAGAAAAACAGAGGCTGGCAGCAGAGACAACACCTGGGCAGAAGGGATGAGATCCTCTGGGAAGATTATTCTGGTGCTTCTGACATCTGTGTATTTGAGAGTCAGTGGTACATTGGTGTTAAGGATGTAGGGCCTCTGAGATCTTGGCTGAGAATGAGGACCACGGGAACCCAGAGCCTACACCATTGAGGATGGCCCTATCTGCTGCTAGCCAGTGGTTCTACATCCCATGCTGTGAAAGTCTGGACTCCCCAGCCAGGCATGCTAGTTTATCTCGATCCATTCTACATAATAATAGCTTAGAAAACACACTCACTTTTTGTCTTTGTTTAATAATGGTATTCTTTTCAAATCACACTATACGAACCCATTTAGTTGATTTCTTTTTAAAGTTACTTTATATTTTTATGTGTGTTTCGTTTGCAAGTATGTTTTCACACCACAGTTGTGTCTGGTGCCCTTGGAGATCAGAAGAGAGCGTTGGATCCCCTGGAACTGGAATTACAGATGATGATATGTGCTGGGAAACAAACCTGGGTCATCTGCAAGGGCAACAAGTGATTTTAAGCACTGAGCTATCTCTCTGGCCCCACATTTGGTTTAATAGTAAGAGCCAGAGGATCCGGAACTTTGCGGTGAGACCGGGTCACCTAGTAACATCAGAAGCTACACACACAAAGGCTCACCAACATGACTACCCAAACGTGAGCTGAACAGGGATGACACCAATAGACACATCAAACTGAGTGTGGAAAAGCTCACACGAATTCAACCCTACACAGGAACTCCAGGAAGCTGAGTGAAGCTGGGAGCAGGAGAGATGTCCTCCCCAGGGAAGAGCACACCAATCAGTTGTTCAGTGCCCAGTGGTCATCCCTGAAAGCATAGATCAAAGTAACATCATGTGGACTCAACAGGTTATATTTAGAAATATAGATGTATATACAAATACATACATGTATGTAATAAAATTGATTAAAAAAGAGACCGTGAATTTGAAGGAGAATGGAGAAGGGTGTATGGAAGGGTTTGGAGGGGGGGAACGGAAGGGAGAAATGTTGTAATAAAAATACAATCTCAAAAACAAACAAACTAAAGGAAGCAGAACAATATGTGGACTACTTTAAAATTTTTTGAGTAGAATTTATATTATATAAGAATTATATTTTACAGATAATACAGATAATAAATTTTCACTAAAATTTAATATTTTATGGATAACTTTCCCTTCATAAAAATTATCAATTCCCCAAACAACTCATTAGTTTTCAAATACTCTTGGTTCTTGGGTTATTTATGAGCTGCAATCAAAGGCCAACTTTGTACCACCAAATTCTCAGATACCTTAGTTTGTATTACAAGTCACCCTCACAATTAACATATTTTCAATAAAGCATAGAGCATGCTTTTGATCAATAACAGACTGACAGAGACCTAAATGCAGCTTGTACATGGAAGTTGTAAACTATATCGACAAAAAAAAGGTACAAGATCGATGCTGCAATGCTCTCCTGCTACCCCAGATTCCAAAGATGGCTGACGCACCTGTTCCCCCACTGAGGCAGACGCCCAGTCCATCGCTCATGCCTCTTTCCCCAGCAAATTAGGTCCTCAACAAAGAAGGAACTGCTGAGATACCTGCAGCAAGGCAGTCCAAAAGATTACCCTCCTCCACCTCACCTAGTCTCCCCCTTTCTCCCTCCCTCTATCAAAGCTTCAGAAACGATGGTCTTTAGGACCTTACAACTTAGACCAAAGTAATGTCTTGGTAAATTAAGAATCTATCATAAATGAAATCAAATATGCACACAGGTCTTTGATTTTAAAATAAAGATTAAGACTCTTATTTCTTATTCTCCTGACAGGAACGCATTTGTTCATAAACATTCAACAGATTGTTTATATGTGTTCATTGTTAAAACCACACTGACTTAAACCCATATATTTAAATTAGTCAAAATACTGGAAAAACACGAGTTTAAATTTCTCTGTGATGTTTTGCTTTAAAATAAATGAACAAATGGAACACAGTAAATTATTTTATGAAAATATTGTGTCTCAATCCTGTCACATTTTTATGCTCAGCCAAACAGTGTATTGTCTTCTATCCTATAATTTTAATTTATTTTTCAGGTTGTGATGTTTAATAAAAAATCTCATTTTAGGAAATTTCTAATGCCTAGAAACATAAACAAGTTAAAATCAGGTATAAAAATCACTACCCCAAAGCAAACACCTTTAAAAATCCTTTGATATAGTTTTGCTTATTCAGTGGATTTATGCATCTCCATGAGGATATAGGTTTTTTCTTTTATTTTGCCATAATATAGAGTTCATTTTGGACATTCAGTCTGTATTTTGAATTTTTAAAATACTTGCAATATTTCACAAGCATTTAATTTCAAATTAGAGAGTGGAATTAAATTATGCTTTCAAACTGTATTTCTATTTGTCTTAGTCTGGGTCGTCTGAGGAGCAGAAGGCAAGGAAGGATTAAACCTGCAAGCTTTTATTAGAAGTGCCTGTGGAAGAGAAAATAGGGAGGGAGCCAGACCTGGCTTCCATGGCAGCTGGTGCCATTGTAGTACAGCCAAGACTGCGCCAGGCTTAGAATCTCATCTCCGGGGTCCTTCGCTGGGAGCAGGTCTTGAGAGCTGTGGTTTCCAGTGGAGATGAAATAAAGCATTTTAGAATGCAGAAACCAGCAAGACCTGGGTGTTTCCCCCATAATTCCCTGCTGTCAGGCTGAACGATAGCTCACATATCATGATTATTTTCTTAAGTGTCAGAGATTAAAATTTTTGGATGAAATATATTTCTGCAAACATTATGTAACATCCAATGCTTCCAAATAGTTATGCCAAAAGTTAGACTAACACCTATGATTTATTTACTTTAATATGTCCAGTTGTAAGAAGGGTATCAATCACACTTGTGGCCATCTTTAGGTGTTTCAAAATTTATATTCAGTTTGTATTTGACAACAATCTATAGAATAATTATGTAACACATTCTTTAACCTTCATCCTCTCCATTTACTTTATATTCAGAAGTGTTATATCGTGTTTGAAGGTAAGATTGTTATTAAGTTAATATTAAAAATTCCTTCTTTCCATTGTGTATTTTCATGTTAGTAGCTAGTATAAAATTAGAAACAATAAAGAGTGTTCCCATCATAAATAAAAACCAACCTCAAGAGCAAGTCTCTTTTTGCAAAAGAATCAATGAGATTCTGTTTTTCACGGTACAGATCCTTTAGCATCTCGTTTGGTCTTTGAAATTGAGTTAAGTCATAGGTTTGAACACAGCTAACGTGGAAGTGGCCATGAACTACCTTTCAGCAACACGATGAAACAGTTTAGTGTGATAGATAGAACTTATACAAATACACACTTTAACCTTACTTAGTTGAGAATTGAGACTTTTTAAAATATAAAAATACACAACGCCTGAGTTGGAGCCAGGTTGTCTACGGTAAAGATCACAGTGTGGCTATATGCTTTGGACAGTCTGTTTCATCTGTTTGAACTTTCTCCCCCAACCCCCACTTTTTTTTAAAAAAAAAAACAAAAACAAAACTCAAGGACAATTTTATTAGAGTTTAAAAGAAAAGCCTCCAGAACAGGCAAGTTGTAAATCTCAGCAGCTTCCTTGAGGAGACTGGAGGAGAGAAGGAAAATAAGACATACTGTTTAAGCTGGCATGCAGGTCAGACATGTGGTGGATAAATCCCCACACGGTGAGAGGGAGCTGTAGCATGAGGGAGGCCCACATCTTAAAAAAGCATCCTTAGGTTCTTGCCAGTGTCTGGAAGAAAGAAACAGAAAAGAGAAAGTAACTTCCATGCTGTTGTGACTCGGGCCTCTGGAAGGCAGACGGACACACTGAACCCCTAGACAGCTCACTGGAACTGCACGAGGGCTGGGAACCCTAGAAAAGAAAACTTATTTTGTCTGTTGCTTTAGTGTGGCTCAGGATGAGCTGGCTGTCCTTCGGCCTGTTGACTCACCTGCCCAACTGCAATGTGAAGTCTCCACCCAGGCTGGAGATTCTGTTCTCTTGACCAGGAGGACTTTTTAAAATCTTAGTGGGACATTTTCCTACTCTAGGATTCCCCACTCTGAAGAGGTAATCCTAAGATAATTTAAGAATCTGGTCAGGCATCTGAGCCACTCAAAGATTTCTGGCATTTTTGGCCTCTGTCAAGGATGAGGCTGTGAAGAGCCCCAAGAACACTCCTGGCTTTTAGCTAAGAAAGAAACTGGTTACTTTGGGGGCTGGGTAGGGTCGGGGTTTTCTTGTCCTAAACTGCCTAGACAATTTCTCCTTGTGTTACCATTCCTTTCTCTGAAGAGCTAATCCTCACTGACATAGAACTGAGATGATGACTAATCAATCTGGCCTTCTCAAATTGAATGGGCATGTCAGGCATATTTTTAGGGCATCACTCCAGTGGGCCTATCTAAAAGACCCACAAAAGGCACCAGTGGTTTTATTTGTATAACCACTAGATAGAGAGAGAAAAGAAAGTATCAGACTGATACCTGGAAAGGCATTTGAGGAAGAAGTAAAGGCAAGAATCATTAGCATTATTAGTCCTGGGGCACCAGGAAAAGTCAACAACAAAGAATAACTTTTAAATGTCCAAATCAAAGTCCATCAGGTAATTTTTTTTATGGGATCACAAGAGTACCATCCATTAAGTTCTAGCTCAGTTCTCTTTTGGCTTCCAAGTCTGCAATCGGGAGGGACTAACATAGGCTCTCCTTTCAGGTACGTTGATAGGGCCTCTCAGCCTGCTTCTTGAGAGGGAGAGAGAATTAATTTAACCGTAGTTTGATTTTTAGGTTGTAAAAATACTGGTATCATCTCTCTTGGCAGTGGGAAAGAGCTGTAACGTTGAAGTGAGACAAGGTCATGATGTCCTATGTGTGGGTTATATTTTCATTATCAAGAGGAAACTTATCACAAAGAAATAGTTATCTAAATAACATCTTAAGTCTAATATCTGGGAATGTGACCCCTTGAACTGTTAAGGAACACCAATCATTTTAATGTTGGTTATACTTTCCCATTCTGTGTTTGAGACAAAAATTAATCTTCCTCCACCATTGAGGCTAGTTAAGGAAATGTTCCTCAGAAGTCACTTGAGTCCAGCAGGGATTTGTAGCTCCTCTCCTCTTCTTTTAACAGTTGTTTCATGTATGTTAGGACAAGTCAAAGGCTTTGCTTGGAAGCTTGGAGGTAATCTTTCCTGTTTGGTGATCCTCTTCTTTGTAGAAGGATTAGAGTCCACCCAAGGCTCTTCAAGGCCTGCCTGAACAAGAGAACAGGTAACTCCCATTGTCACAGGACATTTGAAGAGATGCCAGTAGTTCCCTGGGGCCAAGTTGAGCTTGGAGGGCAAAGGACAGCATACTGTCCCACTTAACCTCCTTAGTTCGCATTAGTATAGGAACACCTAGGTCAATTGCTGCGGTAGTAAGAGTACCAGGTTCTGCTGACTCCCCATGGGGCACCTTGCCTTGGAGGAAGTAGGAATGGGAAGTGTGTTGGGGGGAAAGGCTGGTGGGTGGGAGGAGGGAGGGCAGGGGAATCTATGGTTGATATGTAAAATGAATAGAGAATCTCTCTCTCTTTTTTTTTACTTTGTATTTTTTTAAAAATTTTATTTGTTTTATTTTACAATACCATTCAGTTCTACATATCAGCCACAGGTTCCCCTATTCTCCCCCCTCCCACCCCCTCCCCTTACCCCCAATTCACCCCCCATTCCCACCTCCTTCAGGGCAAATCCTCCCCCGAAGACTGTGAGCAACCTGGTAGACTCAGTCCAGGCAGGTCCAGCCCCCTCCTCCCAGACTGAGCCAAGTGTCCCTGCATAAGCTCCAGGTTTCAAACAGCCAACTCATGCAATGAGCACAGGACTTGGTCCCACTGCCTAGTTGCCTCCCAAACAGATCAAGCCAATCAACTGTCTCACCTATTCAGAGGGTCTGATCCAGTTGGGGGCCCCTCAGCCTTTGTTTCATAGTTCATGTGTTTCCATTCATTTGGCTATTTTTTTTCAATAATTGAGTAAAACCGAAATTTATTATAAGCCACAGTTGTCCTAGGGACCTCCATGCTATATATATAGCCTCCATGGTTCTATGGGTTGTGGTCTGATTGTTCTTTATTTTATATCTAGAATCCACTTATGAGTGAGTACATACCATGACTGTCTTTCTGGGTTTGGGTTATCTCACTCAGGATGACTTTTTCTAGTTCCATCCATTTGCCTGCAAATTTCATGCTTTCATTGTTTTTCTCTGCTGAGTAGTACTCCATTGTGTATATGTACCACATTTTTTTTCCATCCATTCTTCCGTTGACGGGCATCTAGGTTGTTTCCAGCTTCTGGCTGTTACAAATAGTGCTGCTATGAACATAGCTGAGCATCTTTATGGTATGAATCAGCATTCCTTGGGTATACACCCAAGAGTGGGATGGCTGGGTCTTGAGGCAGTTCGATTCCTAATTTTCTGAGAAACTGCCATACTGATTTCCACAGTGGTTGTACAAGTTTACATTCCCACCAACAGTGGAGGAGTGTTCCCTTTGCTCCACATCCTCTCCAACATTGACTGTCATTGGTGTTTTTGATCGTAGCCATTCTGACAGGTGTAAGGTGGTAATAAAAAAATAAATTTAATTAAAAAAGAGTTAGATGAAGCTTGGGCAAAAACCAAACACATTTAAATAAACTTTGATTAGTCATATGTTTTTATTCTTTAAGCTGGTCCTTGTAATTATGAAGGGCAGATCAATAGTTCCCTTGACTTAAGTAGATATTTGATTGAATTTTGACCATAGACATTTTAAGGCTATGTATGTCATTTCTGAGTCATATACATACATACATATAAATATACATATATACATACATACATATACATATATATCATATCAGACCTTTATAACTTGCATAAGCTTTTCATCTTTCTCATCTGGAAATATTTAGTCACCTTATTCTTCATACTCAAATCCTTCTTTACTGAAAGATTTCAAATTTTACATTGTCACATTTTCTTCTACTTACTTTTTTATTATTAAAACCATGAGACATAGTTACATTAACAAATAATCTTCCCATCTGTTGTGAGAATTTTCTCTTGGTGTGGGGAGAGAGACAAAGCAATCTGTAGCCTCTGTACTTCCTTTTCCTAATCTATATGAAGGGACAAACACTTTTCTAGTGAGACACAGAGTTTCTATGATAATCAAAACCATGCAATATGAGTATCCTCCTGTAACATGCCAAGATATAGAATGGTCTCCTTACACATGCCTAATTTGAAAGAGAGGCACCAGAAAAGGTAGCTGAGTGTGCCGTTTAGTGTTTGATTTTACATTAGCAGCAGCATTGTAAGGGAAAAGAGCCATCTTCACTGAAATAGAATTTTCTCTGAAATTGATTTGAAGCCAAGGAAACTTGGAGCGGATTTAATTATGCTGCAGTGTTTTTGAGTTGCCCACCAAGAGCTCTGCCTTGCGCCCATCAATGACACTCCCTGTTGGATGGGAAAGTGGCTTTTCCAGTTTCAATTGCTGGTTGACACCATCATTCAAATGAGGGGCAATTTCTGTGTCTCCCACCTTTATGCAGCGTATTTCATAGCAATATATATGCTTTCCATCATACTGCAATTCTTTGCCCCATGTTGATGATAAACTATTGACTCTAGGTTGAAAATATATTTTTATATATCTCTCTCTCTCTCCTACAGATAGAAAGTTTTACCTCACAATGTGAAGATGTTAACAGTGAACAGATGACAAATACATAATTTCATATACTCTGGGAAATGAATTCTTTCATAAAGAATACTTTTAAAATGTATCTAGCAGTGAGCTTTATGTGTTTGAGGGAAATAGCTATCACTCTGTGTACCTACATCCAAAGCGCTAGTCTATGACATAGTAAAGAAGTGTAAGACTGGGGAGTAGGTGGGTGTGTGCAGATGGTTAGCATCCTATGAAAGGATCATAGGGTTTTTCTGTCAAATATTAACCACCTACAACACCATTTAGGATGATAAAAGCCAACCCTGTGAATATTTAACTTTCACTCTATTTACTTTCCTGATAGTGGGTCACTTTCATATATGAAATACAGCCTATTGCTTATTATTAGTTAGACCACAATTGATCTTTAGCATTTAATAGTTTTCAACAATGACACATGTAAGTTACATGGTAATGCACATTCAAAATGTAAGAATGCTAGGATTAAAGTACAGGCTTAGAAAGAATCTTGTTAGGTCATCTGGCTTAGCTGTTCAAAAATCTATTGCAGATCTCTTTCATGCTGGGTGCTAGTGGGCTTTCAGTGAAATGTATGAAGCCTTTTTTCCTCTTCTGTACCCAGGCTCCACTTTTGGGGGAAGATGAAATGACACCATAAGAGAAGAAGGCAGAGCCAGTTGACAGACACTGGACCTCTTTCAAGTTCACAGCAGAGGGAGAGCAGCGTGTCCAGTTACCAAGCAGAGGAAACACAGTTGGAATGGCCATGGAAGAAGTGCAGGAGTAGGTGGAGAGGCTGCATAACCAAGGGACAGCAGGAAACCAGACAACACCTGCTGGTAAGAACAAGGACTCAATCAGTAGGTTTGTAGGCCAGCCTGCTTCCATCTGCTTCTGGCCATTCTTGACTGGTGCAAAGCTAGATTACCTTTTCAGAAATGCTGATGGCTGAGGCAGGTGGCTATCTCTTGGAGAGATATATGGCAGCTTTGAACTAGTGCCTTGTAAAAGGCCTGTGTGATAAGAACACGGACTTATCTTCTGTGACTCTCCTCAAAGCTCCCAGTGCTTTAATCAAACACACTGCTCTCTGTTCGTACTTGCTCATGAGCAAGGTGGAGAAAGGTAAACTAGAAAGGGGATCTGGGACTAATATATGACATGCTATCTTAACACGCTTCAAAGTTAAGACCTGATTCATGAAATTGTTAGGCAAACACAGACAGATATGGCCTTTGAATCAAGGAAATGACATTATTAGAGCTATATGAACACGAGTGCACTAGAGATACAGCAAGATATGCTTTTTAATCATGAAGATTCTGGGGTCAGACTGTCTCTGCATGGATTCCTTCCCTAATCTTCCTAGCTCTGACCTTCTTAACGTTGAACTTCAGTAGTCTCATCTATACAGTGGGAACAAAAACTATTACCTAGTTGGTCCATTTGTTGGGAGCATTACACAAGATGATGCCTGTCATGTGCTTGACCAAGTGCACGAGACAGAAAGATGCCGTTTAGTACACATGTGCTGTTGTTTTATCGTGAGTTGACTGACAGCTTAAAAGACCAGAAAGGAGTCTGTGTATGCAATATTTTTAAGAGGAATATTGATGATAAATAAGGCCTACGGTCAAAAGAATTATGAAGTGCAAGCAAAGTTAATACCCTGGTGGGCATTAAACCAACAGGATTTGCTCTGAATGTAGGGGGTGAAGATGGAGACATGGTTTCACACACGCCCGTGGGAATTGCTTGCTCTGCTGGCAAGCAGATGTTACTGGTGTCTCATTCATAGAGTGTGTGACACCTCACGCGTGAACCACACTTCATACATGAAGTCTTCCTTCCATGATGGGGCACAAGGGCAATAGCCCTTAGCCATCATCTGATAAGAGGATGTGCATACATACCTCTGCACCTTTGTGCCACAGATTGGGTCACTGAGGCTTCTACGCTGCTTCCAGAGTTCCCAGTGGTCCAGCTGGAGTTTTTCACGGCTGTAAGTTGTTGGGTAATTAAGCCTTCATACTGATTTTCCTTTCTGACCTCACTGTTCCAATATTTTATACTCTCTTCTGGACCAAAAGCTAAAAGTGACTATTTCCATTGGAATGCTCATCTTATATCTTGGCCTTGAAAGAAATGAAAGTAAGGGTAGAGAAGGAGAAAGGTACAGGAGGATGCAGAAGATAATTTGCTTTAGATATTTTAAGGGGACTGTTGCCTTTGAAACATTCCTGCTTAGATGACCTGGAACAGAAATAAAATGGCATTAAACATGAATTTAATAAATAACTGTGCTCTAGTGGTCCAGATTGGCCAGTAAATTATACAAATGAGATACCTGAAATCTCAGAAAGAGATGTTCCCTCAAAGATAGCTCATAATGTAAGATGTTTGGAAACACTAATGAAATGCATTTAAAAGGCACATGTAGAAAATTGTGACCAGATAAAGAGGGTGATGTCAATGGAAGCTGGAAGACAAGATTTTTGTTTTGAAAAAAGCCTGTTTTTTTTCTTACTAACATGTAAATCCTTTTAAGAAGAATGAGTTTCACATAATAATAAGAAATATGTGTTTAATGAATTACTATCACTTCTTACCTTCTACCGTGAGGATATAGAACCGGAGGTTTTGAAATTAAGAGATGAAGAGTAACATAACAACTACTCCACCACATAAAGTCTTTTATGTTCTCTGATTAATTCCATGTCTATGTTTGCTATAAAGCAGACTCATATTGCAAAGATATAGGCCATGCCATGTTCCTTTCTTGAAACGTGCATACAACTAACACTGGTTAATTTGTGCGTGTGGCAAAAAGAAAAGTGAATAGTTTTGAGTGAGATGGAGGGGTAGAGACAGAAAACCCCCACATACATAGCACATGTTTTGTCTGTTTCTCGTTGCCAACATTGATTCACTAAAATTCTCCTTTTCTACCTCATCAATTCCTCGGATGGAAGAAGCGGTCACATCAGCCATCATGAATTATCATAAATAATAACTTTTAGTGTCGCTTCACTTTTCCTTCTCTGAAGTTTGAGATACCACAGAGAAGCTAGACTTCTAGTTCATCCACATGGTGACATAGTCTCAGCCTACAGGCAGTCAATTCTTAATACCGTCCTTTGGAATTATAATGGGATGCAACATGCAGGTCCAAATCATGTTCATGTTAAGTTTCTGCAGAGAGATACGCCCAACAATTGCTTTCAGTTAGGGCTCTTTTTTCTTTAATACACTGCATCTAGTCCTGTAAGGCAGTTCAGACAAACTTGCTCTACACTCTTCTAGAATTAAGAAAAAGTGGCTTTGTTGTTGGAAATAGGAGAGATGGATTTCCTTATTTCTAGTAACGTCAGCCCATTAAAAAAGTCAGGAAGATTGTTCTTTGGGATATATTTATCACTTAAAGAATAATTCCCAATCAAGACCATACATTTTCTTCCAATATTCGGCACCCATTGGACGGTACTCAATGCCCTGCCCTGCCCCATCACATCTTTTTTTTTTTTTTTTACATTCTCTGCTGTTGTACTAAGTCAATTACCAAGTTGTCTTTTCTCATTTATACAAAGCCATTAAACCAGTGTCCTGCCCTGTGCAGAGACAATAAGCAATCTCTGACAGTTTTCTACTTAATTACATGCTTCGTTGGATGCTTCTTGATTGAAAATATTTTCTCATAATCTCTTTTGTTTTATGCTCATGATTTTACCCACGTAACACAGGGATGATAAAGAAAGATGTGACTGAACACGATGGCTTTAGAGGGAGTATCTCTACCTGCCACTTCATTGAAACACACTTGCCCTTTACTGTCAGCCCAGGATGCTGGATCCAGGTAGCCCCTCATAGGTCACTGAATGTTTAATGTTCCAGGAGACATTGCTTAGTGCTTGGGTTAGGTTTTCTCCGGAAACGGTTCTAAAGAGGCCAAACACCTGTTTTCACTGGCCTTTTCTGATGCTTGGGGAATGCAAAGTGACTGTGACATTTCTATTTAGGATTTTTTTTTCAATTTCCTGACCTCTTGGTCTTTGCATCACTAATTAGCGAGTTCTTACTCTGTGCTGGCATGCCAGGACGCTCTTAAACAGCCTTTGAAGAGGAATAACAGAGAATCTCTGCCTAACCACTAGGTCTGTTTACTGGATCCAGAAAAATATCAAGCTATAGTTGAACAAAGAGACGCTTAAGACGGAAGGTCTTTCTGAACTTTCGTTCTTATATGCCTGAACTCTTGACTTTTTTTTTTTTTTTTTTTTTTTTTTTTTTTATTTTTAACCTGGTAGCCATTTTGCAACCGTGGGGTAATAAACTCGAGCAAGTAGGAGGCTGATCTCAAGAAGAAGATTCTATCTGTTGGGTTCCACCTTTACTCCTTTTCCTATAAATACACTTCCAAGTGTATTTTAAACCATTATTTTGCTTAACATGTTAAATCTGCTAAAAGAAAATCCCTCAAAGAAGCAATAACAATTGAGCACTTATTTATGGCCTGCCAATTTATCAGTCTCTACACACACAGTGCTGCCTTTGCTAAAGCCTCAGGACTGGGAAGAACCGCCGAGAACTATTCATTCAAACATCTTCTTTTACAGATGTGAAAAATGAGGTACAGCAATGAAATAACTTCTCTCAGTGACTCTTCTTGTTAGAACTGGCACTAGAACACAGCCTTAGTTCAGAGTTCCTAGTACCCTGCTCGTGGGTCCTTTCGGGTAATTTTTGAAAGAAAGAAAAGGTTGGTCCAAGGGGACAAAGGCTGGAGACAATGCCGAGATTAATACTACAATAAGTATTCTGGGAATTGCATTGACAGAACAGAGTGTGCTTGATTCCATTTGTACCTTCTAGGCACCTCATATTGTTTCAAGTACTTTGAGCTCAAAATTATGTGGTTTTCTTTTTAATACTGAACTATTTACTTTTCTTTACCTTTTAATTTTTCCACTCACTGGGATATACGAAGTTTACTAAAAGTACTTATGCAACAAAAAAGATAAGCACAGGTGCTCCACTTCAGCACCTGTACACGTAAGTGGCTGTACTATGCTTAACTGAGTCCCTGGGCCCCTAGTGATCTGGGCAATATGAAGAAGTGATGGATGAAACCAGGGGAGGAAGAATTAGGCTTAGCAACAGTAGTTAGTGGATGAAGAAGAACCTGAGATTATCCTTAAAACCCAAGCAGGATTTCAGTTTGCTAATAAGAGCTAGCAGGACAAGGGTAGTCATTGAAGGTGAATGTTTGGGAGCGTGTAAAGATTTGGAGGAGAGGGGAAGCTAGAATTATTGAGACAGAGTGGACCTTGATGGGGAAGGGGGTGTCTGAAGGTGTGCCACCGTGAATAGGACTGATTCTACAGAAGGTTCCCAAGTATAGAAATGATTGAGGGGAGAGGGACGAAAAGAAAGAGTACTGGGAGAGATGACTGGAATTTGAGGGGCATTTAGGGGATGATGTGGAAACCTAGAACAATGGAAATTCCCTGGAATCTACAAGGGTGACCCTAGCTAGGAATCCTAGCAATAGGGGATATGGAGTATGAACCAGTCATCTTCTGTAACCAGATAAGGCTTCCAGTGGAGGGATTGGACACAACCCAGGCACAAAACCTTCTACCTATAATTTGTCCTGCCTGCAAGATATGTTGGGGTAATGGTGGCACAGAATTTGTGGGAGTGGCCAATCAATGACTGGTCTAACTTGAGGCCTAGGCTACCATAGGGAGCTCATACCCAACACTGCCTAGATGGCCAGGATCAAGAAGTTCGGTGGCTCAGAGACCTAGGGTAGAACCAAACAATACTGGCAAAGAGAGAAAGAAAGAAAGGGAGAAAGAAAGAAAGAAAGAAAGAAAGAAAGAAAGAAAGAAAGAGAGAGAGAGAGAGAGGGAGGGAGGGAGGGAGGGAGGAAGGAAGAAATTCAATGAAATGATTCCTAATGATACTCTGTTATATTCATAGTTAGGTGCCTAGCTCAGTTGTCACCAGGGAAGCTTTATCCAGCAACTAATGAGAATGGATAAAGAGGCCCATAGCTAAACATTAGGTCAGAGCCCAGGTAACCCTGAGGAAGATGAGAAGAAAGGATTGTAGGAGTCAGAGGTGTCAAGGACACCAGGAGAACACAGCCCACAGAATCAACTAAGCAGGAATCACAGTGGCTCACAAGGACTGAATTGAAAATCACAGAGCTTTCATGGTTTCATTCTAGGTCCTCTGCATGTTCATTATGGTTATGTTGCTTGGGAATCTTGTGGGACTCAACAGTGGGAGTGGGGGTGTCTCCGACTCTTTCCTGACTCTTTCACCTGCTCTTGGGAGCCTTTTCGTCCCAGTGGGTTGTCTCATTCAGCCTTGATATGAGGGTTTGTGCCTAGTCTTATTGCAACTTGATACGCCATGTTTGGT